AGCAAATGACCAATCGGCGACCTCAATTTGTCCCGAAGGTAAACGCCCCTTGTCTGTGAAGCTGCTCTGCAGCTGATCGGGGTGTACGCTGGAGTATCATGTCTGAACCCTCTGCGTACAGTACACGTGTACGTACGCATGAATGGACGTACGTGGCAGTATACTGGAGCCTTAAGGCTGCTACCCCCGTGACCCGACCCCAGATAAGCGGAAGAGAGTGGATGGATGGATGGATGAATATTTTAAACTGAGTGTGACACACTAATCATCTACTAAACTCAAAGCAGCTTCACAGGTTTCCCCAGGTGTCATTAAATTGCTTCAGTTTGGCTCAATTGTTATATCTGCAGTCTTCACCATATTGAACCGAACTGAGACAACTGGTCAGAAGACCATCACTGATATCCTCCATAGGATGGGTAAGCCACAAAAGTTCCATAACTCCCAGTCAATGCCACAGGCTGATTGTTTCAATGCCACGTCACATCGAGGCAGAGATTAAGACAAAGAGATTCACAACCAAGAATTGAAGATTGACATATTGTTTTGAAAGGACCATATTTTGATTGATTTGTTGTGATCCTAATTTATTTCTGTTTTTTCTGCAAAAACTGAGAAGTGTGGGCTGATGTCTTCACAGTATTCTAATTTTTTTTTTAAATCCTGTTTTTGTGGGTTACATGAGCTGGCAGCCCAAATTATGTAAAAATAAACAAATAAATACTTGAAATCGTTTAAATTGTGGGCCCTGAATCTATCATCTATTAAAGATTAACTTTTTAAATTGAATTATGGAAGTTAAACAACTTTTCCATGATATTCTAATTTTTTGGAAAGGGTCTGTATGTAGGACTGATAGAGTTATAGCCAGTTTTTGAGTTTGGCTAAGGTTGGTTAAGTGTGGCAGTCATCTTGAATCAACTAGAATCTAAAAGTTAAAAAAGTTGTGGTCTAAAGTCTGAATTTGTGGATGCACAATCATTCAATGATTATTTTGAGAGCATTTCATTGTAACCTGTCCACTGGTTCATGAGACATTTTGCTAACAAGCACACACACAAAGGTTCACCCACTGCAATTAAAAAGCAGGCGGTAAATCATTCAACTCAATTTGTGCCTATACCATACCATACCATACCATACCAATTTATTTATAAAACACTTTAAACAGTGACAAAGCACACCAAAGTGCTGTACAGGGACAAACAGAACAAGCACACAGCAACAGATTACATAACATGACACCAAAAACGTAGAAACCAACAAAAACAGTAATGGATAACAACAACAACTGCAACATGACCAACACAGTGTGATGCACACAGACTCAGCACAGACCACACAGTGCTGAAAGCCAGGGAATAAAAATGTGTTTTTAGCGAGATTTAAAAACTGTGAGGGAGGGGGCCTGTCTAACGAGCAGAGGTAACTCCTTCCAAAGTCTTGGTCCTGCTACAGAGAAGGCCCTGTCACCTCTGCGCTTGAGACGGGTTCCTGGGACTGTTAGGAGCAACTGGTCTGCTGATCTGAGAGAACGTGGTGGGACATACGGCTGGAGCAGATCAGTAAGATAGGAGGGGGCAGAGCTGTTTTGTGATTTATAGACATACAAGAGTATTTTGAATTTGATTCAAAGGTGAACCGGAAGCCAGTGTAGGGAGGCCAAAACAGGAGTAATGTGCTCTCTATTGCTTGTGCTGGTCAAAAACCGGGCTGCTGCATTTTGGACCAGTTGAAGTCTAGCTATGGAGGTCTGACTGATACCAAAAAGGAGTGAGTTGCAATAGTCGAGCCTGGATGTAATGAATGCATGAATTACTGTCTCCGGGTTATTTTTGGACAATATGGGCTTCAGCTTAGACAGTCACCTCAGCTGGAAAAAGCAGGATTTAACAATCATATTTACATGATTGTTGAGTTTCAGAGAAGGGTCAAGTATCACTCCTAGATTAGTGACTCTTTGTTTCACTAACGGTGACAGAACGGATAGGTCAATGCAGTGGTTGGTGATTGTGTCATTGGGAGGAAACAGCATAACTTCAGATTTCTTCTCGTTGAAACTCAAGAAATTTAAAGCCATCCAATCTCTGATGTCAGCCAGGCAGTCCAGTAACGGTTGAATAGAGCGAGTACCATTGAGTCTGAGGGGGAAGTAGATTTGGCAGTCGTAGGCGTAGAAATGAAAAGGTATGTTATGTTTCCTGAAAATATCACCTAGTGGCAGCAGGTATAAAGAAAATAAAAGAGGACCCAGGATGGACCCTTGCGGTACCCCCCATTTAAGCGCTGCCGAGGCTGAACTAAAATCTTTGATGGAGACACAAAAGGACCTGTCAGCGAGGTAAGATCTAAACCATTCGAGGGCTGACCCAGTGATGCCCACCCACTGCTCTAACCTCGCAATGAGGATCTCGTGGTCGATTGTATCAAAGGCAGATGTGAGGTCCAGTAAGAGAAGGAGCACAGAATCACCAGCGTCTGTGAATAGGAGAATGTCGTTAAAAACCTTGAGTAGAGCAGTTTCAGTGCTGTGGAGAGGTTTAAAGCCAGACTGGAATAGCTCTAAGATGGCGTTATCCTCTAGAAAGCATTTCAACTGGGACTCCACTATTTTTTCCAGTAGTTTAGCGACAAATGGGAGTCTGGAGACAGGCCGGAAGTTGGACATGACTGAGGGGTCAAGGCTAGTTTTTTTTTCAGGAGAGGTTGGACAGCAGCATGTTTAAAAGTTATTGGCACCACACCTGAGGCTAAGCTGCTGTTCACAATGCCAAGAACAGGAGGGCCCAGAACAGGAAGAAGCTCCTTCAGGAGTCGAAGGGGGACAACGTCAAAAGGGGAGCCAGATGGCTTCATGCCGCACATGACCTGCTCCAGGGAAGACAGAGAGATGGGCTCGAAGTGGTCCAGAACAGCAACACAATGAGATGGGATGGACGGATCATGAGCAGGTGGAGAAATGAGTGCCCGGATGTTTGCAACTTTTTCAGAAAAGAAATGGAGGAAGTTTTCACACAGCTCAGTTGAGGCTTCTAGAGGTGAAGGTTCACTGAGGTGTAGAACTGAGTTCAGGGTGGAAAAAAGGGCTCGGGGGTTGTGGGAGTTTGAGGCAATTATTGCAGAAAAGAACTTCGATTTGGCGGCTTTAACTGCCTTCTGATAATGACGCCAACTCTCCTTTAGGATTTGAAAAGAAACCTGCAGCCTGTCTTTCCTCCACCTGCGTTCTGCTCTCCTACACTGCTGGCTAACGGCTTGGTTGCTTGGATTTTGTTTGAAAAATTTTTTTTGTCCAGAGTGTTTACTGCTGTTTACTACTAGTTCAGCAGTAGAAAAGGGCCAAACCGATTCAGATATATGTTGAATTCATCAGTAAAATAACCCCCAAAGTGATGCTTTAAAACAAATATATTTTCAGTGTTTCAGCAGCCAACTTTCACTCTGTTGGGCCCAAACAAGTTGATAAACTGGTGCGCAAGTGAGTGCAGATAAAAAAAATTGCCGAAAAGGGAGGAGGATGAGACACACCGTCACTGAGCTATATCAGCTACACTCGTTTCTCACCAGTGAGTCAAGGTTTCCCAGTGATTCACATCTGTGCAGACACCAAACAACAGGCTCGTCGTGTTGTCACTCTTCTTTTTCTCACCACCTACATCCTTTTTTCCTATTACTTCACTCCTCTTCATTCGTCTTTTTTTGTCTGTCCTCTCCTTCCTGCCTGCTAATTGTTGTTGTAACACACCAATTATTCTCCTGCAGAAGTCCTTACTGGGCCTCCTCTGCAGCGTCTCGAGGCTCATGTTTTTAGACCTCCAGGATGTTCAAAAAAATAATAAAAATCCCAACACACCCAGTTCCACCTGCGGGGCCCATGCAACCCAACAGGGGATTTTGGCACACTGATGATGGGGCACACTCTTCCTTCCTGAACCCACATAAATCTGTCGATGGCTTCTGTCCTGTAGTCTGATATTACAGCCAATCTGCAGGAAAGGAAAGTTGTTTATTGTTGACTAACATGATGTGGTACAGTGGGAACAAAAGTGTTGTTGACCTCTTTTGATGGGAAATAATTACCCTGCAGTGGATGCAAAGCTGTTTTTTTAAAGAATTTCTTTCAAAAACACGTGTTGAGCAAGAGTCTGTTCATACTTTTGTGTTGCTTATTGATTTATAGGTTAAATTCTGTCAGAGTTGGCCTCGCTGTTCTTTTGCTTTTATTTTGCTGTGCATAAATTCCACCCTTGACTTCTCCCTCTGAGAATTGACAAGAATGGACTTGTAAGGACATTACCACTGAGCCAAGGACCTCTGTCATCTCACACTCAGAAGGGTAGAAACTACCATCCTTAGGCTATAATCAACCCCCCCCCCCCCCCACACACACACACACACGCTCACGCTCACATGCACCTCTGTGCTCAGACTGGACATTCAGATAATAAAGGACACCAGAATCCAATTTAAAATGTTTAATTTCAAAGTTTTGCACATGAAAGTGACGCACACTTTCATAACTAGTTGAAAAACGGTCAATGATTTTAAACAATAAACAGAACAAATGCATGAACAAATGTTGCAATATGGTTTTCAGATTTTGAAAAGTGTGAGAAACAGTGGATCTATTAGACTGTTTTTTCACATATTTATTCTCATACATTTAGCAATCAGATTTAGTTAAAAGCAAAAAAGAAGACAACATGTTGCCAAAAGACACATTCTTGTATTTTTTTAATTGTAAAAACTCCCTTTTTAGAAAAAAAAAACGCCCTAGAAATTTAAGAGGTGCATGATCTGAATATGGTTACTCACATATGCATTCTGCTATCCGGAGAACGATTGCACTTCAATATTTTAGTGGTAAAATAATTGATTCAGCTCTACATTTATAGTTTTACTGTAGTACTGACTCATGGTAATGTCATAAACATTTTATCAGTTTGCTGTCTGACAGTTTGTTGCTGTTCTTCAGGGCTCATCAGGGTGGCTTTAACCTCCTACAATACATCAGAATACAGAGGAAGGCTGTGCTCCACTTGCCATGGGATCTCAAGAGCAGAAGCTGGCTCCACAAAGTTGTCAATGTATCCCTGAGCACAGGAGCCCCACATCCCTGTCTTGTACTCGAACCCCTCACCCATCTGAGCGTATCGTAGATTACTGGGCAAATGATCATCAGGGCTGCTGCAGTGTCCTTGTAAAGCATAAAAGTGTCCCTCCTTCGGATAACAAGGGTAGCGTGGTGATGGTTTGCATGATGACACAGTGGTATCCATGTAAACAAGTTGGTCTGTGGACAAAGGGTGCATATGGGGCCCATGTTGATGCATCTGTTGGGAGATAGATGCATGCCAGGGGACATAGATCTGCTGATCCAGGCGAGGTACAGCAACTCTAGTCTGTTCGAGTCGAGATGCTGTCATCACAGCTGGCCCTACAGATGACCTGTGACAATCCCAGTGAGTGCAGGGCTTGTTGAGAGGATTCAAATTCAGGAAAACAGACAGAGCAGAAATGCGATTGATGGCCCTTTGAAGCGTGGCTATCTTAGATAGTCTTTTTCCACTCAGATCATGATTCAGGGCAACACGGAGGGCATTGAAAGCTTGGTTGTAGTCCATTATTCGCTTTCGCTCACGCACATTAGCAGCCATTCTTCGAGCTTTTGAGCGGACCGGTCGATTGTGCTTCTTGTTCTGACCTTCTTCTGGGTCACTGGGGCTGTTTGTTGAACTTTCAATGTCTTGGAAAGATGGCTTGGAACTATCCTCTTCATCATCGTGCACCAGCATGCCAAGCTCAAGCTCTTCCTCAGAAATCTCTGAACTTGCAATGCTGCTGCAACTCATCTTGTTGATAATAACAATTTAAAGTAAAGTCTTACTGCAAATTTTGCAGCTGAAGCGATGACTCTGTAGTAAGAAGCTGTCTGCACGATGCCTGCTAGTCCGTTCGACACCCGCTGTCAACTTTTTTTGGTGGGGCTGTCGGTGTTTTCTGCTGCTCCGACAGCCCAAATTGTCTCGTTGTCTGATTCTCTTGGTGCACTATGGTTACTTGTACCTCAACAAGACAGGTTTGTCTGCTTTTTAAACATCTTCAAGTCACATGGTACACCCGCTCGTAAGGAACGTTGCACTCTCTCTCCCTTTCCAGGTTTATGGGTGGCCTGCAGGCAAATGGCACTGTCACCTCCTCCTCCTGCTCTGACTCTCCCCTACATCCCTTTCAGGAACATTCAGCATTGTAACCACCAATGTTTTATGATATAAGCAAAACACACAGTGCTTGTCAAAGGCACAGCATTCCTTGAAGGAATGCATGTCGCCCGCTGCCTGTCATGCCAGAGTTTTAAATAAAGATAATTTTAAGATGAGTAATGAGAGAATTCTAACCATTTTGGTCAAACTTTTCAATTCAATTCAGTTTATTTATAAAGCGCCAAATCACAACGAAGTTGTCTCAGGGCACTTTACAGGAACATTCACATAAAAACCAATTAGTAAAGTTCTCTATCTAAGGAATCCAGCAGACAAGTTGAATCTTGGCTTCGTTGCAGTCTCTCATCCTGAGCAAGCACAGTGGAGACAGTGGAAAGAAAAACTCCCATTGAAAACTACATAATGATTGGTTGCAGTGTTATAATTCAATTCATCCAAAAAAGTTCAATCTGGTCCTCTGGACATTCAAAAAAACAAAACAAAAAACAAAACAAAGCAAAAAAATCTAGAAACGTTTCGTCTCTCATCCTGAGGACTTCCTCAGTCTGAGGTGCTGTATTCAGCTCAGTCTCTTAAATAGCACCTTCTCAGAGTGAATCAACCAGGGGACAGTTGAACCTGGAGGCTCCACCCCTGTTTAATGATGGAGGGTTTCTTTTCATAAAGATGGCCTCCTTTACTCCTCTCTCAAACCATCGTTCCTCTCTGTCCAGGATGTGAACATCTTCATCCTTGAAAGAGTGACCACTGGCCTGGAGATGAGTGTAGACCGCAGAGTCCTGGCCTGATGATGTTGATCTTCTGTGCTGGGCCATCCTTTTGGCCAGTGGCTGTTTAGTTTCCCCGATGTAAGACTGATCACAGCCCTCCTGACATCCTCTTACAATGCTGTGATTGCTAGTATCACTCAGCCCTCTGTGAACAGTAAACAGCCATCAGGTGCTAATGATCCATTGTTAGGCTGATGGTCCTTCTTGAGCATGTGATCAACTGGTTTTGGTTGTCAGCAGCAAACTGGTTGATCCACTCTGAGAAGGTGCTATTTAAGAGACTGAGGAAGTCTCTTGGATGAGAGACGAAACGTTTCTATATTTTTTTGCTTTGTTTTGTTTTTTGTTTTGTTTTTTTGAATGTCCAGAGGACCAGATTGAACTTTTTTGGATTTTTCTACCTGGATTATTGAGCATGCATCAGGATAATTCAATTCACTTCATTTTATTTATATATTGTCAAATCACAACAAAGTTGGCTCAGGGCACTGTACAAAACCATTCACATACATACAAAAGCCAATTAGTAAAAGTTCTCTATCTAAGGAAAGAAGCCAGCAGACCCGTTGAATATTAACTTTATCACAGTTTCCCATCATGAGCAATCACAATGGCAACAGTGGAAAGGAAAAACTTCATTTAACAGGAAAAAACCTCCAGCAGCATCAGGCTCAGGATGAACGGCAATCTGTTTCAAACAGCTGGGTTTGCGAGGACAGGACGGAGAAACAAACACAAAATGGTAGGTCCAGATGTAGGTGCAGGTGTACCCCCATTGGAAGAAAAACAAAAAGAACATGTCAAGGATAGAGAAAACTAGAAAATTCCTGGAGAAACTTTGACAAAACTAGAAAATTCCTGGGGAAACTTTGACAGGGACTGCCGGGCTGCTGCCGATTAAAAAATTTAATTTGACATTAATATATTTTGGGGTTTGCTCGCAGCTACCACAATACCAAAGCTGCAGCTGAATAGCTCTAAAACAGGCCGAGTTATCATATTTTGTCCTTTTTAGCTAAGGTGGCCATCTTGGATTTTTGATTGTCAGTCAAAGTCTATAGGGATCATTCTCAGCTACCTTCTTCTTCTTTCGGCTTTTCCCTCTTCAGGGGTCGCCAAAGTGAGTCATCCTCCTCCACCTCACTCTGTCCTCTGCATCCTCTGTCCTCACTCCAACTACGTCCATGTCCTCTCTAACTGCATCCATATGTCTTCTCTTTGTCTTTTTCCTGGCAGCTGCATTTCTTTTTTATTTTTATTTTTATTGAGACAGCCAGTTACATTACAATGATATAATTATATTGATTCCGTTCTCATTTTCCATTCTTTCTCAGTTTTCTCACTTTTTCTTTGCCAGAAAAAACAACAACAAAAAAAACGTACACAAACCAAACAACAACACACAAAAAACCCGAAAGCAAAACCAACAAAAACCAACCAGAACTAACATGGGAGTGGCGGGGGAGCCTAAATACCAACTAATCATCGACCTCACATCAAATCCAAACATCGATCTGAATGACAGCAAGGTTTACAAAAAATCAGACAACAGGTTTGACATATTCTGTCCACTTTGTCCATGTCTTGTAGAAGGTGTCCCTCTGCACATTAATGGCAAAAGACAGTTTCTCCAATACATAAATGTCTTTCACTACATTAATCCAGTCTTCAGTTGTTGGAGGTTCCTGTTTAAACCATTTTCTTGTGAGGGCCTTTTTGCTCCCCGCCAGCAAAATGAACAGAAGTTTTTGATCGTTATAATTAAGTTTGTCGACCGGTATGTTACAGAAAAACATGCATTGAAAGGTTAAAGGAAAGTCAAATGTGAAAATGTTCTGTAAATGTTCATGGATTTGAGACCAATATTGCTGAATGGTTTGGCAGTCCCAGAAAATATGGAAATGATTGGCACCATTCCTGCCACATCTCCAGCAGGCATCGCCCCTTCCCTCATATCGTTTCTGCTCTGGGGTTATGAAAAATGCTTTTCCAGCAAAATTCACGCCAAACCTTTGATCTTGTTGTTGTCCATGGTATCTTACAGATGTGGTCCCAGTCCTCCTCTGGAATCGTCAGGCTGCCTTCTTTTTCCCACTTCACTTTAACATAAACGGTGCTGTCCTTCTTACACCGCAGGATGGCGTTGGATAACCTAGAAATAGTTTTGCCTGTTTTTGATTTGGATAATAATAAAAATGTTTCCACAAATCTCAAATTATGTAACTGTACTTTTAGATTTTGATTAAAATAATTTCTGACCTGTAGATATCTGAAAAAGTCATCTGCGCATAAATCGTATTTTCTTTTCAAGGTCTCAAAACAGGGCAGCACGGTGGCGCAACTGGTAGAGCTGCTGCCTCTCAGCGAGCAGGTCCCTGGTTCAAATCCCGGCCCAGGGGCCTTTCTGGGTGGAGTTTGCATGTTCTCTCCGTGCATGCGTGGGTTTTCTCCAGGTACTCCGGTTTCCTCCCACAGACCAAAAACATGCATGTTAGACTGATTGGTGACTCTAAATTGTCCCTAGGTGTGAGTGAGAGAGTGAATGGTTGTTTGTCTCGTTTGTCTCTATGTGTCCCTGTGATGGACTGGAGACCTGTCCAGGGTGTACCCCGCCCCTCGCGCAGTGATTGCTGGACATGGGCACCGGTGACCCCCGTGACCCAAAATGGAATAAACGGGTAAAGATAATGGATGGATGGATCTCAAAACATTGGAACGCCCCTTATGGACAAAGGAATAGTAACTAGTTAGGCCTTTTGAAATCCACTTCTTGAATCTATCATCATGTTGATTTGGGATAAACTCTGAATCGTGAGCGCACCATCGTAGAACTTTAGAGGCATTTTCTAATCCACATATTCTAATTGCTTCGTTCCAAGCAGATATCATTACTTGCGATATTGGTTCATCTGCCAAATTAATTTTGCTCAGCAATTTTGTGTCAACTATTATGGCTTTAATCGGTATTGTTTTGATTGTTTCCCCTTCCACATCTTTCCATCCTGCAGTGTAATCAGGACAGCACAAACATATCAAAGGTCTCAACTGAGCTGCACAAAAATATTCTCTTAAACAAGGAAGCCCGCAACCTCCTTTTTCTTTTTTTAATTGTAAAGTTTTGTACTTGACTCTGGATTTTTTCCCTTTCCAAATGTATTTTGACAGCATCTTATCCCATTCTACAAATTGTCTTGAGGGTATGGGAACTGGCAGGGATTGAAATAAATACAACATTCAGGGAAGGATGTTTAATTTAACTGACTCAATCCTGGAGTGCAGGTTGAAAAAAGGTATGGCATTCCATCTTTGGATATCAGACTTTATGGCTATATTCAGGGGGCATAATTGGCCTCAAACATTTTCGTGGGGTCACGATGTATCACCACCCCCAGATACCTAACACCATCCGCATCCCATTTCCATTCATAACAATTCTTGATTTCAACTGGTGGGTCATAATTTACCGTTAGTACCTGCGTTTTGTTCACATTAACCCTGTACCCTGAGAATAAACCAAATTCTGATAAGATTGTCATTATTTTGGAGAGAACCTACGTAGGATGAGATATAACAAGTAACAAGTCATCAGCAAATAATGCCAACTTTTGCTCCCCTCCTGCTGTCCTTACTCCGATTATATCCTGTCTCTGTCTGATCCATTGGCTCAGTGGTTCTATGAACAAGGCGAAGAGGAGTGGCGACATGCAGCAACCCTGTCGAGTGCCTCGCTCGAGTATGAATGATTCAGTAAGGTCTCCATTAATTTTGATTTTGGCTGTTGGTTTATTATACAACCCTGAAATAGTATTTATTATAGATTTATCAAATCCAAATCTCTCAAGTACCTGATATAAAAAG